CCTTCTATAATCAGTCGGGCTCTATATTCTATTACAATGATTATGTCTGTCCGATTTGTATAAGAGGAGCCAGGATAGCTAAGTCGGTATAGTGACTGACTACGGCCTGGAAGGCAGATGGGCGGGATTTTTCTCTTCTCCAGACCGGTTCTGGAGCTCACTCAGCCTCCTCTTCAACAGGTCCCACGTGCTCTTTCTCCGAGGGTAAAGCGTGAAGCTGACCACTCGCCTCCAACAAGTGCCGAGGTCAAGATTTGAATATATATATCCACTTCCCCCCTCACAAATTTTCTCTTCTCCACGTCGTCCAGACCGGGTCTGGGGCCCACCCAGCTCCTATCCAATGGGTACTGGGGGGTCTTTCCCCGGGCTAAAGCGGCAGGAGCGTGAAGCTGACAACTCACTTCCAACTAGTGCCGAAGTCAAGAATATATGGATCTACATATCCACCCCCCATACGCCTTCATGGCGTAATACTTAATCGGCTAAGTACAGGGACAATTTTCATTTACCTTTTTACATTTACTCCACACATGCCTTCATGGCGTAATAATGTAGATACCACAAAGACAAACACACAAACTTCAATTGACGCAAGTAAAGATGTTGGTCTAGAAGTAAACACAGAGAAAACTAAGTATATGTTACTGTCTCGTCACCAAAATGCAGGGCAAAATCATGACATAAAGATAGGAAACAGATGTTTTGAAAATGTGGCACAGTTCAGATATTTGGGAACAACGATAACAGATCGAAACCTGATTCAGGAAGAAATTAAGAGGACATTGCACTCGGGTAATGCTTGCTACCATTCAGTCTAGAACCTTTTGTCTTCTCGTCTGCTGTCCAAAAACATAAAAATTAGAATATAAAAAATTATAATTTTGCCTGTGGTTCTGTATGGGTGTGAAACTTGGTCTCTGACATTAAGGGATGAACATAGACTGAGGGTGTTTGAGAGCAGGGTGTTGAGGAGAATATTTGGACCGAAGAGAGATGAAGTGACAGGAGGCTGGAGAAAACTGCATAATGAGGAGCTTCATAACTTGTACTCTTCTCCAAGTATAATTAGAATGATGAAGTCAAGGAGGATGAGGCGGGCAGGTCATGTAGCACGAATGGGGGAGACGAGGAATGCGTATAGGATATTGGTGGGAAAGCCAGAAGGAAAGAGACCACAGGGAAGACCAAGGCGTAAGGGGGTGGACAATATTAAAATGGATCTTAGAGAGATAAGATGGGATGGTATGGATTGGATTTATCTGGCTCAGGATAGAGACCAGTGGAGGGCTCTTGTGAACACGGTGATGAACCTTCGGGTTCCATAAAATGCTGGAAAATTCTTGAGTAGCTGCAGAATTGGCGGCTCCTCCAGAAGGGCTCAGCTCCATGAGTAAGTAAGTAAGTATGCCTTCATGGCGTAGTGCTTAAGTAGTTAAGCTCAGAGACAAATTAACCTTACTTTAGCAGTTTGTACAGTTTGTACGTAAAAGCAAGTACCTAGTATTTAGGTAACTTTTGTACGGATGCTCAAATCCTTCAGCAGCCTGTGGAGGTTGTTAGTAGAGCCATCTGCTCTGGTCGGGTCACATCGGGTTAAGCGCTGCCAGCTGCTGCAAGTGTTGTCACTCGTTCCAGGTCATTAGGTCAAGCTAATTGCGCTCTGGTGATAACATTTTGTATTAAGGACTATTTTTAGAATTTGACAAAAAATCCTCTACAACCTTAATTCCAGAAGCAGCATGAAGTTAGACGGTTACACTGCTCTGTTACTACTAAACAAGTCTTCGCATGTTTGCTCTTGGTTTCATAGACACAAACTTGACCCCATTACATGTTCATTGTTTTGCATATCAGCAAATTCTGATACCATAGTCAGCATCTACAAAATTAAGATTTGAGGTTTTTGTAGCAGTGGTTCTGAAGACATATACTCTGCGACATAACCCCTTGTACGCGTTGAAAGTTAACCGAAGTTTCGGAGGAACATGTCGCCTCCATCTTAGGGTCGACGAATTAGCCAAGATGGAAACCAGCATGAAGCAGATAGCAAGTTTCCTCCGGAAGTACAATAGATCACTGTAGGTCGCGGTGCAAGGGCCGAGAAGGCCCATCCCTTATACAAGTTCACTCCGAAACATCGGTGGACTTTCTAAGGAATTCACGACCTCATATCCCAGAAGACAGAACTCTTCAACAGATGCACAGTCTCTGCAAGTCGTGTTGCGTCTTATGCGTTATGACACCTTGCACTCTTGCAAGTGGATACCGGCGTCTGGAAGAACACGTTGCGTTCATCTTCGGGGTTGAAATATGTAGGCTCTGGAACTGATTCTGTTGCGGAGGCAGACTACTACCTCGCTGCCACCAGGGAGCCGATTGTCTAGGAATTGTGGGAGCTTCGACATCTAACAAATCCATTGGCCTTCACGGTCTGTTACAGGGATAGCTTTTCCTCTTTACGTTGGTACTTAATGATTGTCTCTCCAATCTTCATCATTTTTCAGGTTATAAATACATTTAGTTCCTTAGGCATCAGAGTCTATGCTACTGATTATATTGAGTAAAGTGACAATAGAAATTGGAAAGAAAAGTCCGCTTTTTATGTCTCCTATATTCAAATGTCCATGTTTGAAATATTTTATTCCTGTCTCCCGTATTCCAAATAATTTGGAGATACAAGCATTTAGGAGAGTTATTTGGTCTCCTTCCCTTCTCCGATAAAAAACACAGGTGGTGGTGCATGATCATGAAGCGTGAAGAGCAATTTGCACTTAATATTAAAATATGGGCTCGAAAAGAAAAATTAAATATATTTTCATTACAAACATAATTCGGACAAAACTGAAGATTGTTCAAAAATCCAACCATGAATTAATGGCGATAACTTGACATCCGCGATAATAGAGACATATTTTTTATTAGCTGGTAATCCAACCATCTTCCATTTTCATTCCTGCTCGAGCGTGACTTGAATAAATAAAACGAAAAACTCCGTGGTTTTAGTCCGCATGCGGACTATACCGATCGATCGACCGCCGCTTGTCGGCGAAGTTACTACCAAATTTAGCGGATAGAGGGTGTCGCGTGGTCAGCTCAACGAATCCCCACGGCCGTTAACTTCGGGTTTCTAGGCCGGAGTTCCTCAATTATCCTCACGAGGATGAGTGGACCCCGTTCAAGACCCACTACTTCTCAGAAAATGGTCATCATCAGGACCTTAAACAATTGCTGTTGAAAACTGCTGAATTTACCTCAATGAATACCGTTCCAAATTTTACCCTCGTTTATGCGCGCATGTGTTGTTGTGCGTCTCTAACGTGTAATAGTAATTTTATGTATGGAGTACATTAGTGTTTCCTATAACGTGATTGGTTGTGTACTTATTTGTAGAGATGGGCGATTCCTCTTGCATATCGTGCGCAGCTGCTATAAGAGTTACGAATATTTATGGATTTGACTCTTTCTTGTATAGGGTAAGGGGGTATGTGTGCTGCGGTCTAGTGTTAAGTTCTTGTAATGTTTCAAATATCGGATTATGCGTATTAATGTAATGTCATTCATGTGTAATTTGTCTTTGCTGATTTTACATATGTGGTATCTTTTTTCTTTAAATTCGTTTAGTGGGGGGTAGAGTCCGCCTGGGTCCACTCGGCACGGCGGCCACTGATTGGCCTAGTGTACCTGCACCTGGTGATTATGATGATGGAGAATTTGGTGGAATGAATATTGGCAGGGGAAACCGAAGCGCTTGGAGAAAACCCGCTCCAGCGCCACTTTGTCCACCACAAATTCCACTTGACCAGACCCGGGATCAAACCCGTGCCGCCGCGGTGGGAAGCCAGCGACTAATCGATTGAGCTATGACGCGGCCATGTGGTATCTTTCTAATGTATTTAAATATTCCCGTTTTTTCTCTGTTTCTATAATGCTCCATGTTGACTATGAGGTTCGAATATCCAAAAGTGATATTATTATTCTTAATTGCCCGTGAGGGGGCAGGTGGTAGCATAGTTGGTTGAGGCACTATACTACAAGCAGGAAGGTCGCGGTTTCGAGTCCCGATAAGGTGGATTTTTCAATTAACTTAATCCTTCCAGCCGCACTATGGTCCTGGGTTGGACTCAGCTTCTAACAGAAATGAGTACCAGGAATCTTCCTGGGAGGGGGTGGGGGGGGGGGAGTAAAGGGCGGCCGGCGCGTAAGGCTGACAAATTTGCCGCCATCTGTGAGCCGATTGTCTAGGTGATGTGGGAGCCTTGGCGTCCCATAGCCCTATGGGTCTCCATGGCCTGTTACAGGGATAGCTTTACCTTTACCTGATCTCCTGTATATACTCTTCGTATCTCTTACGAAATTTCGACTTGTTTATGGACCATAATTTAAACACGATATGATTTGCGGACTGATTATATTTTATGGTTCGATGCCCGTGTATTATCGGAAGGACATGACTTAGGTGCCCAAGTGTCTCTGGAAATATTTACTGGAAATTTATGGGTCTAACTCTAGTAGTCCGAAAATGGCAGACAACAGAAAGTGTGCAGATTGTCATTATGGCTGGAATGGGAAATATTTGACTAAATAATCGATTCAAGAAAGATATTTCAATCAAATCAAAGGGAATCATAATTATGTTCTCTGAAATGTAAAATGAAATGCTGTGCCGACTGAGACATCCCGCCTCTTTATTATATGTATTTATTTTTCTGAAGTTGAATTTAATGTTTTGGAAGGATTCTAGTTTACAGAAATGTATAATTCGGGGAAGCCATTCAGAATATCTTCAATTCTGTCCAAGGTTGGCTGTGTTCTACGCTGAGACTTCCCTGTACTCCTGTGCAAAAGTCCAGAGTATTCCAAATATGGCGATGACTTATTGCTTAGAAGACTTCACGAACACGTGCAGTTTTGTTGCGTGATCACTGAGTAACATTTTGCCTTAGCAGAAATGTTGCAGCAACATAGACCTTAAACCAGAAACTGGAGCGTGCTCTTACCTTGCCTTGCAATTGTGTTGTGACCCCATTGTTACGAATCGATCAGTGGCGCGCCCTCTCAAGTCACCATCTCAGGATCAATAAGAACACACGCTGGCCGACTCAGTCATCAGCTGGCGCTCTCTCGTCACAATTTTAGAAGCACCATTAGTTCACAGTCACCCTTCCGCATGGTCTTGCTCATCTCACATGTTCTGCATTTCAGATTCCGTCCATTTTCCATAAGACACTGACTAGGAGTGTGGAAATTTATCTCTCACTTTTCCAGTCTTGTTTCATTTCCTTCCTCTCATCGTTGCGTTGAAATATACAATATAAACATGAGAAAATAAGCCACGAGTTCGTATTGTCACAGAGGAAGGGAATCACTCGAGTAAGAGGTAACGTACGGCTTCCAGTCACTCTCAGAGAGAACAGAAAGGAGACTTGCGGTGACGTTTCTGCACTTGCAAAGCTGTTGATAGAGGGACAAGATATGACTGTAAATCAAGAAATAGCTCTATACGTTTATACACATTCCTTTAGTATATTGTGTTGGTATACGAACGAACGAACTAGCAAGTCAGACCTCGCCCCGCAGTCTGGCGCAGCTCACAGCTCCACGGCACCCCTCATTCGCAACCCCTCGTCGAAGAGCGTACTTTCCCTGCGTGGTGGACTTGCATCGATCGCCCTCGAGACGGGGTTCCCTTCCTTCCTCAGGCTCAGCGAAGGGGGATAACGAAGGTTATCAGGGAAAATTACTCAGCTGACAACAAAGACAATAATGAAAAAGAAACAAAGTGAGCAATCCCATTGAATACGCCTACTTCAGAGATCACTTCCGGTTTGTCTGTTAGGAATCTCGCAGGCAGACATATCTGTGAGTGATTTAATTTAACGAAGAGCACTGCGATGCAGTCTCGGTCAGTGTGTGTGCATCGTAAGCGGCGTCAGCGTCGAAGGTCACGTGCGCCAAATTGAAAATCAAGTTAGATATTTCGTTACTTAGCTGTGAAGGGCCGCGCCATAGCTCAAGCGGTTAGTCGCTGGCTTCCTACCACGACGGCCCGGGTTCGATCACGAGTCTGGTCAAGTGGGATTTATGGTTGACAAAATGGCACTGTAGTAGGTTTTCTTCAGTTTCCCCTGCCAATCTTCATTCAACCAATTGCTACACAACCACCCTCACCTATTATCTGGGGCTGTTACAATAGGCCAGAAGTGGCCGCAGTACAAGGGACTTAGTCCCACCCCACTAGTAATAAAAAATATATATAACTGAGGGTAAGTGAGATTATCACACTAATTTCTAAAAATAACATTAAATGCTGTAAATTAAGGAGACCTGACACCACGTACACAATTAAGGAACGTTGCAACAACACGGCGATCATCTTCGAGGGCGTCACACAACGTGCTGAACACGGTCTCCCTCCTCTAAAGTCCTCGAAGTTTATAAGTGTCTTTATTCCGCATTCCATTTTCCACCAATTTACGTGTACATTTCCTAAGTGCCCTGTTCTTATTAGGTTTCCAACCCACACCTGCTTTCCACCATGTCCACTCCTCTGGACCATCTCAATCGTTTTACTTTCACCAAATATTCTCCTGAAATACACATTTAATTTCAGTGTTGTATTTGTGTCAAAACGAATAAAGTAAAAGTAAAGTAAAGTTGTCCCTCTGCTTAACTAATTAAGCACTACACCATGAAGGCATATGGGGGAGTGGATGTATAGATTCACATTTTCTTGACCTCGGGATTAGTTGGAGGTGAGTAGTTAGCTTCACGCCCCTGCTTCTTTATCCCCGGGGAAAAAGCCCCAGATACCCATTTGATAGGCTGGTTGGGCCCTAGAGCCGGTCTGGACAACGTGGAGAAGAGAAAATTCTTGACCTTACCGGGACTCGAACTCCGACCCCTCAGTCGTCCAGCCTGTAGCCAGTCGCTATACCGACTACACTACGAGGTCGAGTACTATATTGTCTATGTTCACTTTCATTCGGCAGAATCTCTTGTAGGTGCCGCTTTAAGGCTCTGTGAGAATGACGGCCAGCCAGAAGAAAATTATTACGAAGTGAACTCCGCGGGCTTTTCCGTAAGTTACGGATATCAGTGTTTCTGCTGAAAAGGCTTTTAGTTAGAGTGTAGTTTGCACTCCCTAGTTCTAGTAAGTTGATGGTGGGATGATAATAATAATAATAATAATAATAATAACAAGAAGAAGAGGAAGAGGAAGAAAGGAAAAAAAGGAAGACAGATCAAGAAGAAGCAAATGTCAATAAATTCATCATATTGTATCGTATAGACCCGCTGCTAGGCAACGGCTCGGTATACACATTCCACGGAAGCGTAGACACGCAACTATAGGACGTCCGTTGCTACGCAATGGATTAGTAAACAAGTCTTCTCCATAATTTAGAGGCTGTGTTTCCTGCCTGTTCCGTGCCGAAGGGTTATGAAGGGACAAAAAAGTCGTTTGAGTTAGTAGGTGTCGAGATTTGGTTCGAGTTTTGGAGATGGCATTCGAAGGTGATTGAGAAGAAATAGCAAGAAATGAATTAGACTGTGCAAAGAAGACTTCATGAGTGATGTAAGTTATACTGAGGCGGTTATAAATCCGTTGCCAGGATACCACTAGTGGAAACTGAGATCCCTATTGCGTGTTCAACAGTGAAATGAAAGTGTGTAGAACAGCGATAGCTCTGTATTACCTGTAGTTCCAAGGTGTGTGAATAAGGTATCAATAGGTCTCATCATCTAGTCCAGGACCCGTCTTATAAGTCATGCGCAAACCCCTTGCACGTGACAATATTTTCTTGCCAAACTGCTCGTCCGGACTTAACAATTTAAAGGACTCGAATATGTGTACAGAATATTTCACCGTCGTGTTTTGAATGAGCAAGCAGTTTGCTGAAGCCTTTTCTCGCTGGTATCGCTCTACTTCACTGAACAGGGTTTGAGGAAGTCAAAAAGAAGTGCTCTATTACCAACTTTATTTGTTCCATGGCGAATTTATCGTGATTTGGTTCAGATTTCCTCTTGATCAAACTTGTGGATAAACTAAAGGCCATACAGCATCCACCAGGCTTGTGTGCATAGACAGTATTGAAACTAAGGCTTATAATGCTGAAGATATGAGAAACTTGCGATCGTTACAGATAGGAAGAGACGGAAAGACGGTGTATAAAGAATGGATGAGTACCGGTGATATAGGATAGTGCGGGGGGTATAACGCTGCAGGACAAGGAGGACTTTAGGATCGCCTCGTCCATTTATTTTCTACCTGTGTAGGCAAGAATAAGAAAATAGAGTTAAAGAGGTAAAGTTGTCCCTGTGCTTAACTGATTAAGCACTACGCCACGAAGGCATATGGGGAGTGGATATATAGATACACATTTTCTTGACCTCGGCACTATTCGGAGGTTAGTGGTCATCTTGACGCCCCGGCCGCTTTATCCCCGGAAAGAGCCTCCGGTACCCATTGTATAGAAGGTTGGGTGGACCCCAGAGCCGGTATGTACGATTGCAGAAATGAAAATTCTTGACCCTACCGGGACTCGAACTCCGACCCCTTGGTCATCCAGCTCATAGTCGCTATACCGACTAAACTATCCCGGCTCCTAGAATAAGAAAATGGCTATATTTTAAACATTGTCACGGGTATCGGTTGTCTGAGACGCGGATTTGGATTGGTAATTAGATTTATTAATAACCTTCAGGTCATAACTGCAATTACTTATAACACTATTGCTACTTTGCACAATGTACAATCACTCCACATTAATCTCTTAAGTCTATCTCCACTAGTCTTCACGGATGTGTAACATAGGAATTATAAAAGTCTCGGGGGCACCCGGTAGCGTACTTGGTTGAGGCACTATACTACAAGCCGGAAGATCGCGGGTTCGAGTCCCGATGAGGTGGCTTATTCAATTTACCCAATTCTTTTAGCCACACTATGGCGCTGGGATCGACTCAGCCTCTAGCAGAAATGAGTACCAGGAATCAGTACTACACATTACACTTGAATGAAGCCTTCTATTCACACTTTGACTTTTCACAGGTCAACGTATTTTCCGTGGTTCTCTTCAACCGAGAAATCAGTAATCAGAACTCAGAACTGAGCGGTAGCGCCGTTTGTTTTCAAAATAACTTTTTTGCACGGAACCCACGGAAAACACCGTCTTCCATTGTTGAAACGTGTTTACCGAATCATTGTATAGAAACAGTTGCGGCGCGGACTCCATAGAAAACAGTCTCTCTCACTGGTGGGAGAAATTTTTAGAAAAATCTTACTGTTCTTAGATAATTCATTCATACATCAGATTAAGAATTAGTCGGGTGCTGTTCTATGGAACAACCATTTCTATACGCAGTGCCAGCTCAAGGTTTTATCTCGACGATAACCCCTCGCTGTCCAAAATGTCCATCAGATCAAACGCGAGTTAAAAATATTGTATTGTGTGAGGCAATGTAATTTGATTTTAGGCGCCATGTTTGGCAACTCAGAGAATACTGAATAGACTAGTTCCCCTTAACAAAGCAAGGATGACCCATTTAAATGATCTCCAATACATACGAGGCACAGTTAAAAGATAGCTAAGTAGTGCACTGGAATGAGACTCTTATAGCTTTATAAAGCAATCGCCCTACTAACATTGTTATATGGATCAGAATGCCGGGCCGTAACTAAGCAACAGGACAGCCGAAAAGAGACAGCTTAATAGGTTTAGTGAGGGATATTGCAGGCTATAGGATAAACCCCATCAGAAAATACACGATAGGACAATATATAAATATATCACTTAACGTCTTAAACTAAACTAACATCATGGAGCTGAGTGAGCCATTCTGGAGAAGCCGCTAATTGTGCAACTACTCAAGAGCTTCCCAGCAATTTATAGAACCCGAAGTTTCATTACTGTATTCACAAGATCCCTCCACTGGTCTCTGTCCTGAGCTAGATCTATCCAGTCCATCCCACCCCATCCTGCCTCTCTCAGATCCATTTTAACGTTGTCCACCCAACTATGTCTTGATCTTCCTAGTGGTCTCTTTCCTTCTGGCTTTCCCACCAATGTTCTATGCGCATTCCTCTTCCCCTCAATTCGTGCTACATGCTCTTCCCATCTCACCCTCCTTGTTTTTATTATTCTAATTATGTTTGGCGAGTAATACAAGTTATAAAGCTCCTCATTATGCAGTTTTCTCCATTGTCCCTTCATATCTTCTCTGTTCGGTCAAAATATTCTCCTGAGCACCCTGTTCTGAAACACCCAATAGTCTGTGCTGTGTTCCTCCCTTGATGACAGAGACCAAGTTTCGCACCGTACAGAACCAAGGCAAAATTATAGCATTTAAAGGCAATTTTCCATGTCGCCCAGGCCGGGTGTGTCGCCCACCCAGCATCCTCTCCGATGGGTACCAGGAGCTCTTTCTCCGGGGGTACAGCGGCCGGGGAGTGAAGCTGGCCACTCACCTCGAACTAGTGCTGAAGTTAAGAAAACTTGGGTCAATACATCCACTCCCCCATACGCCTTCATGTCTTAGTGTATACTTAGTTAAGCACAGGGACAATTTTACCAAATTTTACCTAGACAAATTATT